GGCTGCTGCAGCGGGAGAGGTCAATGCCTTGGGCCTCTTTCCTCCCCCCCCAATGGCTGTCGCCCGCCCCACCGGGGGGCTCGTTCCTGGGCAAGCCGGACGTGCCCGGGACAGCGCCTGGGGCCCTGTACGCGAGCCACACGGTGCATCCTGCCCCCGGGGCCCTCTCCTGCCCCAGGGGCCTGCCTGCTCCTTTGCCCCCCTCCCCCGGGGGCACGTGCGCTCTGAACGCCTTCCCCAGCCTCACGGGGGCGGAACGGGGCTCCCCTTCGGAGCCGGCACCTGGGGCAGAGATGCTGGGCTAAAAGTGGGGGAGGTGCTGCCATTGTTATGAAGTCTGCTTGGGGGCACCCCCCTGTGCCCATTATACAGCGGGAGGCCCTCCTGCCCGCCACTGTCTGAACAAACCGAAGCTGCTGCTACTCCCGTGTCGGTGTGTTTCCCCTGGCGGGCAGCAGCCTCTGGCTTGTGTGCGTGCGTGTGTGTGTGTGTGTGTCCCAGGGGAGGGCACAGATCCTGCCCCCCTCCTCCCACGGCGTCACGGCCACTGCCCCCAGAGCGGCCCAGCGGCGCGGTCGCCCTGCCTCACACCCAAGAGATGGGAACGCACAGGCCCCACCCGCCCCTGCTCAGATCACACCAAACGTTGCATGTTGGAGTAAAAAGTGTTTATTTAAAAAAAAATGCAATCAATAAAACACACGTCAGACCGAGTGAGTCCCCTGGTGTCTGGGGAGCATGCGCGGGGGGGAAGGGGGGACGCGGGCGCAAGGCAGGAGCAAGAAACGCTGGTGGGCAGGCGCCGTCCTTCGGCCTCAGGTGTGTGCAGCACCTTGCACAGCAGCATGGTCCGTAACGGGGGTTCCTCCGTGGGAATCACCTTTGCCAGCCCGCGGGCGCAAGGCAGGAGCAAGAAACGCTGGTGGGCAGGCGCCGTCCTTCGGCCTCAGGTGTGTGCAGCACCTTGCACAGCAGCATGGTCCGTAACGGGGGTTCCTCCGTGGGAATCACCTTTGCCAGCCCGCGGGCCTCTGACCCTGCCTTGGAGCGAGCCGGGCGGGGGATTTTTGAGGACCAAAGAGCAGGGAAGTCAAACCCCCATCCCAGGCTGAAATGACCCCACACGCCCAGTGTGGGGCACGCAAGCTTCCTCCTGAAGTTGGGGGGTGGGGAACTTGCTGCCTGAAAGGACAAAGCCAGGACAAAACTCACCCCTTCCCCCTGCCTCAGCCGGCCCTGAGCCTGGCTCCTCCCAACCCGGTTTGCATCCATTTCACTTTGTATTGCCAAGAACCCCAGATCCAGCGGTCGCTCGCCTCTACCTGCGTGGGCCATAGAAGAGACATTCGCCTGGCTCCAAGCATGGCCCCTTCTGCCCGTTTTGGGCTTGGCCCTGGGAGTGATGCCAGTGCCCAGCCCACAGCAACATCCCTGAGCTCTGATTTCTGCTCCCCCGGCTCTCACGAGAGAACCCCAAGCGCTCTGCAGCAGAGGGGTGACGTGAATACTGGGGGGGCTGCCACTTGGGATGTGATGCGGTGGCAGGGGGCAGAG